AGCGCGGGGGGCCGGGGCCTCCAAGCACTTTCCCCGCCAGGTCGCGGGTTCAGGTCCAGCCTGGAGGCAGGGAGCGCTGCAAGTGGATGCACGAGGGAGGAGGGTGGAGGAGAAATCAGGGCCGGGTGTTTCCAGACTGGTGCCCTCAGAAGAAGCCGTCACAGTTAGAGGCTATTAGCAGCCCCAGCCAGCGGGCAGGGGTCAAACAAGTCACCAGGCCAAGAGCTTCCACTTTAATGTGCCAAGACAGAGCCTTGGGGATCCCCTAACCCCTGCACCTCCCAGCAAATGCTGGCTTGGCCCTTGTGCTCCTGCTTTTCCCAATGATCTGCCCTCAAAACATGCTGTCTTTTGTGGCAATCACCATCCAAGGGGCTGGCATGGAGGGAGAGCAGGGCAGCCCCTGCCCTCTCTGCAGTAGCTTCACCTCTCAGCCTGCGTTTGGCTTCAATTCCAAATTGTGGCTCTCGCATCTCCTCCCCTCCCACCCGTCCTCCCCAGAAGCAGTAAAATGGCATCTTTCCTCCTCGGGGGGTGAGCAGAGCCGGCCGGGCGCTGGGTCGGGAGTTTCCACATCTTTGTGCCCCTCACCCACCCCCTCCAGCTCCTTTCCCAGCAGAGATGCTGCCACCTCTGTAAATTGCCTTCAATCCTTCCCTCCCATCTCCCTCCAGGCTCCGTCCATGGGGCTTTGCCTGGAACAATGGCACAGGCTGCAAGGCAGGGAGGCAGCAAAGCCCGCAGGGGAGGGACATGGCATTGCCTGCGAGGCAGGGATGTTCGGCAGCCTGCAAGGCAGGGAGGCTTTGCAGCCTTGGAGCAGGGCTTCCTTCCCAGTTCATCACTAATGCAGGAACGCCAAGCCCTTCCTGGCTGCAGCGAGTGCGAGATAAAAGCTAAAAGAGGCATCAATAATTAAAAACCACTCAAAGCCGGTAAGTGCAAACAGGAGCCAACATACAGATCGAAGGCAGCGCCAGAGATGAGTCTGTCAGCTGCCGGCTTGCTTTAAGGGCTCCCAGCTCTCCGTGCACGCGCTGCCCCGCTCCCACAGCCATGTGGTGACAAGGTGGCCCTGGCGCGGGGAGCTCGGCCGCCTGCTCCGCGCTGCGGGCCCTGGCCCAGCACAACGGCAGGGAGGGGGCAGACAGCACCACAGGCCCGTGCAGGGCTGGGTCCAGGGCCAGCGTGGGGATCCTGGCAGGAGCCGGCGCTCCAGCTGCAGAGCACGGCCCCGGGCGCAGGAGAGCCCTCATTCTAGGTCTGGCCCTGGCTCATACCTAGGGAAGCTGCTGCCAGCCCCTTCCCTCCCTTTCCTGTCTCATCTGCAGCCAAGACAGGGCTGGAACGTGGACTGTTTGTGCCAGCTGCTGGTATAAACGTGCAGGGAAATTTAGGCTGCCTGCAGGTGCCAGGAACCCAGCTCCTCCAGTTCCACACATCCAAAGCGCCGATTTAGAGATGGAGCCAGGGAAGGGATCAAAACATCGCGGGCATCATGTCTGCTTCGGAGCATCCCAAGGCACTGGCTTCTCCCTGCCTCGAAGCAGAACCTGAAGCAAGGTCTATAGGTGTGCGCACGCGTGGGTGA